GAGAAATAACTGTAAATAGCCTTCTACTTCAGTCAGGTTTTGTTGCCAAATAAGGAAAAATAATGGGTTTTAGAGCTTTTTGATATGAGCACTATAGATAAGGGATTGTGACTGGATATGTATATATGATGTGTGACACAAATTAAGTCCTGTATGTGTTATTACTCTTACTGTCATTTAAAATACTATTTTAGTTGATGGAATGAGGGGGCATGATGAGGTGTCTTTTTTCCTTACTGAAATTTCATTCACACTATTTGTTTTAAGTGTTTTTTTCTTAGCCATATCCTCCTTTTAGAAACTATCTCCACTTCGCATGGCTCAGGCTTGACCCAGCAGGAATGCCCTGTTACTGCTGACACCTAAGAGCTTGTGGCCTCAAAGGTTGGCTGCCTTCTAAGTTAACATGGACTAAGGCCAAGACATTTGTGGAGCTCAAATTGTAATTAAATTCTGGTGGTTTCTGTTGTTCTTGGAAAGTTCAGATCACTCAGTCATATTCAGTTTTGAAGACTTAATAGTTTATATTTCTTTCTACTTTCATGTTTGGAAAATGTATCAGAAGATATGATTTTAAAATAGTTCTTTACCACTGTTTATTTCTGAATGATTCCCTATTAACCACCCACACCATCCTGCCTGCATTAGCACTTACATTGACCTTACTAATTGTCTTAACCTTTAAGTACATTTATAAATCAAGTGTATTTATAATTTTAAGCATATTTATAAATTAAGTTCATTTAAATTAAAACAATTTAAATAGAGGAAAATCACATTAAATATATGTCAGACCTCTAGAGGGTGAATTACTTTAAGCTTAGAAACAATAAATGTTCTCAAATGAAAAGTTTAATGGGGTATTTTTCCACATTAAGCAGTTTTATTTCCTCCTTGATTAATGCTGTTGGTTTATGTTCTTGTCCAATTTATGTATTGGGAGGGCATCCTTAACGAATTTTGTAAACTCATAAGAATATTCATCATTTTCTACAATTTTTTTTCTCAGTCTCCCTGGATCATCATTTTTAAACACATTTTGTAATCCCTTCTGTTAAATTTGTCATTGTTTCCTTAGGTTAAATTTCTAGATAGAATTGTCAGATCATCTTTGGAGAGTGAATTGGATTCAATTTGAGTGATAATGGCAGCCTTCTGTGGGCATTCTGCAAAGGAAGAGGCAAAGTGTACACAGGTCCTATTTTTTTTAGAATAAGAAAAAGCTTAGCATTTAAATCATATTCTCACAGTAAGTTTTTCATTGTTTTCCCTCTGGGATTTAAAAAGTTACATCATGTCAGCATTAACTGCCTTTAATGAACCTATCTGTTGTACGATAGCAAACTCTGCTGGGGAGCAGATTGCTGATGAGTTGACTTGGAGCCCTGTCCAGGTTCTTTGCCTATCTTCCCTTCCTTACTAATTAGTAACTTAGCAAGTAGATGTGTAAGAGGTAAGCTGAAACACTTTTATGAAAAAAGCTTAAGGGTGAAGATGTTGGAGAAAGTCAGGGCCTTGTCTGTGCATTTTGATTATCCATTCATTTTCAGTCACCCGTTTCAGTGGGTAATTTGGAGTCTGCTGTCTGCTGTTAGCTACATTTCTAACCTACCCTTCGGGACTCTCTTCTATAAACTGTTCGGATACTTCCAATTTTTGTTTTGCAGATAGAAGTGCCTGGTTGTGCCTGCAGTCATCAGTAACACAGTGACTGGAGACAAATTTCTATCCCTGACCCAGTTTTACGGTGTTTACTGAAGGAGCGTCAGTGCTCCTGGGCAGCTCCGTCCTGAGCAATTTACAGTCTTGCTGCGTGCGGTGACGATCGCACGCCCCGGCACCCCTAAGCCCTGCGTCTGCACCGCCCAGCACCGCAGCACTCGCTGGGTGGGGTCATTCAAGCTTAAGTGAATTCAGCCCCTCTATAGCGGGGGCTGCATCTCAGATGCTCAGTGGCCCCAAGTGGCTGGCAGCTGTGATGCCACAGAGTGTGGACACACATTTCTTTCACTGCAAAAAGTTCTGGACAGTGTTTTAGGCTTCCCCTCATCACCATGGAACCTTTACCACATAATATAAAGAGAAAATTACTCATACATTCCCCTATTTTAAAAACATGGAAGCTTCTTGGCATTCTTTTTCCATCTTCCCTTGTATTTCAGAGGATGCATAGGTCGTCCTTTTCAAAGCAGTTCCCTCGTGGACTGCTTCCAGTCAGAGGTTCTGAACTGATGAGAAATGGGGGATTGAAACTCTCAGTTCTTCCCTAGCACCCCACTCCGGCTGCATTATTCAGCATCTTCCTGTTCACCACCAACTTCCCTGGTGCCCACAAGCATTCTTACAGACCGCTAGCCCATTTCCTGTCCTCTCTTCACTAAACTTCTCTGAAAAAGTATCCCAGACACCCTGTGTACAATTTCCCACCACTTTTCCTCTGCCCTGACAATCTACAGCCCACGCCCCTCTCCAGCGTGCCCCTTGGAGCTCCTGCCAAGCCACAACCTCTTCCAGTCGCCCTCGCATCACAAGAGTGATCCTGTGGGCACCTTGATGCTGCTGACCCTTGAACAACATGGGTACTCTTACACATGGATTTCTTTCAGTAGATATAAGGGAACTCTTTTTTGGAGATTAGCAACAATTTGAAAAAACACTTCTTTCCTCTAGTTTACTTTAAAGAATACTGTGTATAATACATTGAACCTACAAAATAGGTGTTAATTGACTGTTCATGTTATCAGTAATGCTTCCAGTCAGTAGGCTAACAGCAGAAGAGTCAAAAGTTATGCTCAGATTTTCGATTGTGCCCTGGGGAGGGGGGGCAGAGCCTCTAAACCCCCTGTGGTTTTTCTTTCCACTTTACTTCCATGATGTTTCTCTTTTGGCTCTCCTCCTGGGGTGCCTGTACTCAACCCCCTCCACAGGCCCCCTCCGTGTGCCAGTGCTGTTCTTTCCTCCTTCCATTTCCATTTTCTCACCCGTGACTGGCTCCAGGTATTGCCCCAATTCTGAAAACTCCCAAGCTTACCTTCTCTGTTACTTGATCTTTTCTCTGAACTCCAGATCAAAAGGTCTACTGCTGTTGGTCATTTCTGTTAAGATTGTCCCGCCTGTAGCTCAACATTAAAACATCCAGTTCTAAATGTACATTCTTAGCTGTTGGGCATCTTTCCCCATCAGTTGCTTATATATGGCAAATTACACCACCACTTTGCAGCCACTTCTCTCCACATCTTTTTCCTTCCTTACTCCTTCCCTTTGTTTGCCGCATCGTGTCTGTGTTAACACTGTGGTGGTTCTTCTGGGCACCCCTTGCTCACCGGCCCTAACCTTCCAGCTGTCCATCCTCATTTGAGGTCTGGGTCTCTTTCTCGGGCCTGGAGCATTTTTCCCCTATATTTGTACTTCCATTCTCTGTTTTTCACTCATGTTGCCAGATTAATTTCTCGAAGTCCATTTAAAGGAAAATACAAACACACATATGCAAGCATACATATGTGTGATAATTACCAATTTAAATTTTTGAGTAAACAGTATAACTCGGTTTGAAAATCAAAAAGTACCAAAAGGCATGCCATGAAGAACAGCTCCCATCAGTGCCCTTTAGCTCCGTAGATGCAAATCTCCTGACAGGTGGTCATAGAATAGTCACTTTGTATTTGTCTCAGAAGAATTGGAGATCAGTCACAAAGATCTCCTTTTTGAGACTTGTATAGACTTCCTCTATAAATGTATCATAACTTACTGAACTAAACCTCTACTGGTGGACAATTAAGTAATTCACATCCTTTCCTATTCCAAACCCTGCTGCAGGGAATAACACTTATAATTCCTTTTGTTCTTATGCAGGTACATCTGCAGGTCAGTTGTCAGCTTATAGTTACTGGTCCTTGAATGCCTCCAGTCTCTGTCACAAGTGCTGTTTCTCATGTGCAAGTCACAGATATGTCAGCTCAGTAGCCCCCCACCACTACCCCACCCCATCTAGAAGTCTCAAGGACTCCCCACTGGCAATAACTCTGTCTCCACCCCGTCGGTGTCAAGGAGAAGTAGGCAAACAGGGCACACTTAAGGCTGCCTCCTGTCGGACTGTGCATTCCAGATGACATTCCCCTCCTGTCCCCCTGGCATTTCTGTCTCCCTTCCCTCGTGCAGGGTACCTCTGCTCTCTCTAGGCCTGCCCAGCACATTTCCTCCTTGGAGACCAAGCGCACACACCACCACATGCATGAAGCTTCCTTGATTCCTGCTCCCTTCTGCTGAAAAGAATCTGGCCTCCCACTGAGTACTCCTTGGGCATATCCCCCTCTGCCCCGGATTACACTGCAGTATCTGTGTAGTTGTAATGGAGCCACGAGTCAGCCGCGCCTTGCTTTGATTCCTCATTCCCAAAAGTCTCATGATATGGTGTTTTACATAATACTAATGAATGAAAAAGAACAAAATTGATTCTATTCTTGTCTGAATTGAGGAGTTTGGGATTACTTTTGGGGACTACTTGTAATGTAGAAATCACTCCTGTCCTTATGCATTCTGGCTTTTGGTTAAATTAAAATGCCTTTCTCTTCCTCCTAGGAATGTTTTAAGAGCCTAGAGCCTTGGAGTCTTGCCTTCTTGGTGACAGCTCCTGGGGCTCCTGAGAGATGAGGATGCCATTCCATTCCGTGTTTATTCTATTGCTGCCTAAAAGTACTGGCAGGGCCCACATGTGGTCTGCATTACAGCACAACCAGACCATGTGTGATTGGAACCAAGTGTTTGTTTTTATTATGCATTTAAGATTGCTTTTTTGAAACTTCACTTTTAGTTTACAAAAAAGTAAATATGAATTACGGATAGAATCTAATTTCACCAGTGGGTTTTGACTTAGCTTCAATAGAGGGTAGAGCCGCAAACTGCATTTGACAGTGGATCCAGGGAACCCTGTGTTCTGAACGGGATGTCACTGAGGTACGGCCACCCTGTATTGTGATGCTTTCTCTTTTCTGTGCTGTTAGGTTTTTGAAGAACCTTCCATTAGCCTTTTTGCTCTGGAACATTGTGAGGGAAGAGAGTTACATCTAGAAGAGGCTGTGAACTCTGTTCTGAACAAGGATCTGCACTTCTACACCCAGTCCGTGTGGGTAAAAAGTGGACTGTAAGTATGGAACAAGGGCAAGGCCTGGTTCAGTCACTGTTTTAGGACCGAATTCCTCCATGGCTGCTCTGTTCTCGTCTGATGGTACTCTACTCCTTTTCGCTTGCAATGTAATAATTGAACTTTCTGTTTAAGTACAAGAAGTCTGTGGACCATGTCTGGCATGTCATAGATGCAATGGTCTGGGAGAAGAGCCCTTGGGGAAGAGGGACTGCCCTTGTATTCAGAGCATGTGTCTCAGAGTAGGTGGGCCAGATGGCTTTAACCAGTTGAGCCTACTTTCCTTTCAGGAGAAACCTATTAAATCAGCAACTATGACAGCTCAGCACCATTGCATGCTAAAGACAAGTGACAACTGTTAAGATGAATAGCGTTCTCTTGTATTTTGATTTGACATCTCATTCTAGAGCTGTTTGCTGCAGGGTACAGGGTACTTACTTTGATGCCCCCAATCCTGGCCAACCTCTCCCACACCACCACACCATTGTTGCTATTCATTCAGGTTGTCAGGAGTGCATCCGTGGTGTACGGGGCCAGCACTTTTCCAATCTGGGAGACTTCTTTAAGAAAATAAATGAAAAGTTATGGATACATAAATACAAGCCTGCATATTTATTTAGAGCAAAAACAGTAAGAGACCTGCAAGTGAGGGGCCCTGAAGTTGAATCTCTAATGCTTCCTGGAAAATCTGCCTCCCAGGCCATTTCTGGAGAGTGCCCATAAGCCTGCCTTTCCTCTGGCACCATTGGTGTGTCTGTACCAAAAGTCAACTACAGGATCATACTACCTCTTGATGACTGATATAAAGATGACTTTTTATTTCTTATGATTTATTTTATTTTATTTATTTTATTTTGCTATCATTAATGTACATTTACATGAACATTATGGTTACTCGACTCCCCCTATTATCAGGTCCTCCCCAAATACCCCATTACAGTCGCTGTCCATCAGCATAGTAAGATGCTATAGAATCACTACTTGTCTTCTCTGTGTTACACTACCTTCCCCGTGTCCCCCCCACACACATTTATTTCTTATGATTTTTAAATTGTGTAACTTAAATATTGTGGGACAATGGAAGGGAATGCCAAGAATGTAAATCAATTTGAAAATTAAGTCAACTATTGTAATAAATGGCTTTTGTATTATGCACATGTACAGCAATCTAAGTTTTCCTTTTGCAAAACATTTCACATGTTTGGGTGTTCATTAAACATAAATTGATTTACTCTAAGAATAATAATCGCATAATTTATTCCAGTATGCCCTTTGCCACTTTACTAAGTCTATTTGAACTGAATTCTGCATCCCTGCGATATGGGATTTTTATACATTTTTACATTCCTGAGTGGAATTGATAGTTACTGACTCACTTCTGGAAGTTTCTCACCAGGTTATTTGACTCTTCTGTGGAAAATTGGTGACGTTTTACCTTGACATCACTATTTCTTCTCTTTAGCTTATTTCCACCTGTCTCAGTGTTCTACATTCTCTGTGAGAGGGTCGATACATGGCCAAAGGAACGGTGAGGGTGGCCTCAAGTTCCCTAGCCTGGGGACGGCTTGTAGATACTGCTTCTTGCACAGCCTGATACCCTCATGACAAGTTTTGTTCTGTTTTGTTTTTAATCCCCATATTACCCCATATCTCTGAAATGGGATGGTAATGAAGGCCAAGCTTTAACACTTATCAACTGTGGAATTTATTTAGCTGAATACATAATGAGATACAATTTATTCGAATCCTGCCTAGACTTTATAACTGAAACTTGCTGCCTATTTAAAGAATCTGCAAACCTCTCCATGGCCATGCTATCCCGACTCTACACCAGTCTGATGGTGTAGATTTTTGTAGGCAAGAAGGGGTGGAGGGAACATCCTCCATCTTGTTCATCCATAATTTGGCCAAGACTGATCTCAGCTGTGGGGAGCAGAGGGCCTTGTCTGAACCGAGCAGGGCAGCCACCTCGTCTTCCACACGTGTTCCTGAAAGCACCATCTGCAGTGACCGTGAGCCCTGCTGAGAATTACGGAGAGTTGGCACTCCCAGCAGATTCTCCTTAGCCATCCAGCTTGATAACACCAAAACCAGGGCTCAGCAAACTCTGTAGGGGACCAGCTTTCTTTGCAGTTTGCTGGCCTTCCTCGTCTGTCCCAGCGGGTCAGCGTGCCTCCGCTGTGCAGCCTGTTGTCAGTCTGTGAGGAATGGCAGGGCTGTGTTTGTGGAGCACTGAGACTCCTGACTCTCACCTCGAGGCCCTGTCTGGCTTTCTGCACTTTACCTTGGCCCAGTGGAAGGCCCGGAGTGTTGAGAAGGATTTGCCAAGGAGCCAGACCTTGAAGTAAGAGTAAGACAGGGCATCTTGGGAGATAATTTTAAGTCACCCTGAGTGGCCTCAGAGAAGCTGTGGGAGGAGGTGTGTCTGAAGAGGTCATTGGCGCCCTGGGGGAAGCCCCAAAGGGCACATGGTGCTGAGCCCACGGGGGTAGAGTGAACTAGTGTCATTTAACTGGGTGATAGTGAGGGTGTAGGGTCTATCTTGGAATGTTAAAGTGTTAGGGAAAAAGAATTGGTATTATCAGAGGAATGCAGAATTTTAGAGCTAAAGGAACCATCTACTGGAAGTAAGGAAACCAGAATCCTAATTGGGGTCCAAATGTTTTGAGCCCCAGTCTAATAGACTTTCTCCTAGTCTACCCTGCCTTTTCTGTTAAAAAACAGGATTACACATTTTTTTCTTAAAAATCGTAAACACCTAGGGGTTTAAAAAGTGAACCCTCTGTGGTATCATAACAGGTACTTTGATAAGAGATTACTTTTTATGTGTAAGTACCCCTTTTTTTCTGCTTGCTGTCATATAGGTGGATAGCTTATGAAGGATCCAATTTCTTGGGACGACAAATCCTTCTTGAGCCTAATGAAATTCCAATTTGGACATCATTCAGTGGATGGAAAACAATTGGTTCCCTCCGTCCTATGAAGCAGGTAAGGAGAGAGGAACTGTAAGATCCAAAATAACTCAATTTTCTAATAGAAATTTTGTAAACCACAGTATCTGAAATACTGACATTTTATTTTGTTTGCCATTTATGATACGGAGGGATTCGATTAGGAAATCTATAGGTTTTAATTAATTCATAAACTCATACCTAAGGTCAACATTGGATTTAAGCTTTGAGTCCAAAGACTTTTCAACCTTGTTGATTTTTCATGGGAAAATAAATATTGAAACATTCATGACAAGCAGTGGAAACAAGAATGAATGCTGAGACCATACTAGTTCACTAAGCATTTGGAATATCCCCCACTTACAGAATACTCAGGGTAGATCCTGACAATTTATTAAAACAGTATTTATTGCCCATGTCTGCTTGTCAGTCATCTGTTCAGACACGTCCCACAGCACCGGGGGTAGGTGCAGGCTCATCTCTCCACAGGCCTCGGTGGCCGGCTGCCCTCTCCTCTCCAGCTGCGCCTGTCAGGTCTAGTGTGCACTCCTGTGGCTGTGCCACATGCACCAGTGTACACGGTGCTTTCCCGGCACAAGCGGTGCCCCTGTCTGGAAGTTCCTTCCCTCATTCTCTGCCTGCCTCGTTCGCACTCACCCCCTAAATTCTGCTTGAGCGTCAGGTTCTTCAGGCTGCCTCTTCCCCCTCTCTCTGAATCAGAGTCAGATCTGACCTGCTGCTGTTGCCGCCAGGTAGTGCCTGTGGTGCGTGAGCACATGTCATGGCTGGACTCAAGAGGGCGCCTTCTCACCTGGCTGCAGCCCAGTGTGGGCAGGGCTGTGTGGGTCTTGCTGGAGGTTCTGTCCCTGGTGCCTGCCACAATGTCTGGCACACTGTAAGAACTCAGAGACTATTTGTTTAGTGGAGGAATGAAGGTTTGACCTTGTGCAGAGAATTATGGAAGAATCAAGGAGAGAAATTTCTTCCTTACTGGAGCTTACATTTTTGTTGGTTACAAACATGTCCAACTCAAAGCAATAACATAATATGCAGTGTAATGATCAAAAAACCACAGGCTACATCCAGGTCAGAGAAAGGAAGTATGAACATGTAGGAGTGGTGGGGGGATTCCTGGAGGGTGGGAAACCCACACTAGGCTGTCAGGGGTGTGATGGTCAATGGATGTGCCATTTGTACTTCTCTCTATCCCTTCAGAAACACTTTCTCATCAATTCCAGAAACCGTCCTTTAAGGTAAGAGTTACCCCATTTTCTAGACATGGAAGTTAAGTCTCAGAGAGGGAAAGCAAATTGGCAGAAGTCATCTACATGTCAGAAGCAGTATTTGAACCCACTTACTTCTGTCATGCCCTAAAATTTGTGTTCTTAAACAGTCACACCCTACTTTCCTCTAAAATAAGATCATTTACAGAGTGGCACCATATATTCCAGGCCCTGAGCTGAGTGATGTAAGTACTGAGGCTCTGATGCTCAGAGAGGACATACTGTTAAGCAACAGGAGCCCACTAAGAATTAACCCGACTGGTCTGCTGCCCCCTTCTCATGCGTGCACACCGCACTCCTGCCTGCCGCTCTGCCCCTGTTGGCCCACATCCTGATTCTGCTGCTGCGACCAGTGACTTGATGACTCATTGTCTCTTGGCACCTCAGAATCCTCTCTGGTGAAACTGATCACACTGCTTACTTCTCATATCAGGAGGATTAAGTAAGATGATGTGTGTAAAGAGTCGGATACAACATGGTTCATGTTAATATGATAGCACTTATTTCTAAAGTTTATCATTCACGGTGTCTCTTGAGAGAACCAGAGAATGCTCTTCTGAAGGGTCCTGCACATTAGTGGGCTTTCCTGGCACAGAGAGTGTGGTGCCAGATTTCCTCACATTCACATCTGGCTTATTCCTCACTCCTGTCGCATGGGGTGATGGAAATCCCATTGAAAAGCCATGGGAAACAGCAAGGCAGAAGTGGGAATTGAGTGTAGCTGTTCCTACACAATGCTTAATCCTCTGTTGTTAGAAACTTGCAAGCCAAGTCAGACACTTAAGAATGTTGCCCTCAGTTTTGAAAGGTGGTTCCTCTGGGGGAAGGATGTCCCTGACCATTGTTCAGGGTCCTGAGGTAAAGGACAGCTAGAACAATAGCCTTTTAATTTTACCCAGGAATTTTTTGACAACATTATATGTGATATTCTTATATTGTTCTTTAGGAGCTATCCGAGTGCTATTCTGGTTAAACATTTACTTTCAAAATATTTTAATAGATCATTTTCCCTTTGGCTGTTTAGGCCACAGCTTTGAAACCCAGCAAAGGAATTCTGGGTTTGTAAACAGTATTATGGGTCATACTTCATTTATGGTAAGGCTGTCCGTACTGCTTTAGTTTATATTCTTGTTCAGGAATTAAGGAATAATGTGATCCCTTCTGAAGATGGGAATTAGGAAGTCACTAAGGTACTTACAATGCCTATCAGTGTTTTATAGTATAATTATAGAGAGTCAGCCCACAGGTGTGTAATAAGGGTAATTAGTACCTTGCTTGAGTTAATTGGTTTAAACTGTGCTGTTTGGCCCTAACGTAATTAGAAGGTCCTCTGTGAAGGTCATGCCTGTTTTCTTATGTGTGTAAGGTAGAAGACTATAATAAAGATGTACTGAAGCCTCAAGAATTAATAATTTTAGTGGGAGACAGAATTATAATATAGACCTATTATGAATGACAGAAATTTAAGTTCATTACAGTTGCATTCTGAATATGGAAGTAATTTGAAACAATTAAAACATTTTGCTAAATAGAGGTCATCTTTATCTGCTTTAAGTTACTGGCTAAAAATTTGTTCTTCTATTTGCTTAGAGTGTTTATTTCCTTTGAAAGGCTAAACATGGCAGCAATTTACCAAAATTCAGCTGGCTTCATGGGGATCTGTCCTAAGTGTGACCTAGAGGAATATTTGTAGGTGGACTTACGATACCATGTTGCATTTCACTCCCACTTGGGTTTCTCGGAATGAAAATGCTCCTTATTAAATAACAGACTCAGGTGGGAAGGGTGTGTCCTGTATTTTATTACACTAAGACTGGAGGCCTAAGTCATGGGGATGAAAGAGTGGCTTCTGTGGAGCTTCAGTGACATGCTGCAACTTTTCATCATCTTTCTTATTCACACTACCACCTTTAGAGTTGGTCTCTCTTAATACCTTGTGTCTAAGAGTAACTAGTGCATTTCAGCTCAGGCCTCAGTTCCCTAGTGAAGAGGGAGGGTTTAGGTGTAGACAGACCTGGCTTCTCCATATCTGTGTCAACCTTACTTGTAAAGTTAGGTCATAATTGTTCTTCTTAAAGGGTTGCCCTGATTATTAATTCTAACAAATGATACAGAAGCCCAGAAAGCATTAAGCACACTGCTTGACATATACTAAGCTCTCAATAAATATGAATATCCTTAGAGACAAGTCCTAGATAGGATTTTATTTGACAACTTATTGTATATATGCCAGGCCTAGGGGATGAAGTTCTTTGTCACCCAATTTTTGAATACCTCTGTAATGATTAAACATGCATGATCTCTTCCCTTGGAGTATAAAGGTCAACAAAGAGAGTGCCACAGCAGCTAGGGCCCTCAGCCACCTGGGATTGTCGAGGCCTCCCGCAGTCATTTGGCACTTGCACAGAGCTCAGGACAGCAGTGTCTGATGACTGCTGTCTTTGCTGTGCTGTTGGGAGACCCGTGCAGTAGTACCTGGCCCTTCTTCCTACTCCCGCCTCCCCCAGACCAGCAAGGACACAGTAGTGATCGAATGAAACTCATCAAGTCCCTACCTCTTCACCCCTTGCCAATGTAACTATGGTGGTAAATGAAACTGTTACCTTTAACAAAAGGGCATTCTTTGGAAAAATGTAATAGAAGTGTAATAGAGATTGTACAATTGAAGCTTTGTGCTCACTGATCTAAGGATTTTCCAATAGAAAATACTGATTCATATGTATTTTCTAAAGGAAATAAGAGTGATATTGATATAAATAAGCTAAATTACATCACTTCTCACTTCTCATTAAGCTTTCCTGCATTGGAAGGATTAATTTCTAGATTCACAAGTTTTCTTCTAAATGTCTGTCTGTCCCCTCTTAATAGCCCGCAGTATACATTAGAATAAAGAACCGAGCCCAGGACGGATATCTGACAGTCACTGGAAATGGAGCCAACACGCGGGCGACCTCAGTGTGCATTGCCCCCTACAGTGGGAGGACGACGCAGATCTGGCACTACTGTCGGGGACTCTTTAAATCCAAGGTAACTGAGCTCGCTCATACCGCTCCCTGCTTTTTGATCTTTGGTTTTTTCTTCTGGAAACCAGAATTTTGCCAAATTAAAGGGCATCATAAAATACTGCAGCCTCCAAGAAGCAGTTTGTTACATGATTCTCTACTGACGTGTATCACTCAATTTTTTGATCTAGAAAATCCAGTTCTCACATATTATGGATATGCCTCAAGGATTTTTTTTAAACCAGTGATAAAAGTCACTAGATCCAAATTGGATTGTGCTTTTGTGAGACATCCCTTTCTCTGCCAGATAAAGCCAGCTATCTTTGTGATTCCAAACACAATGGAACCTTCTCGTTTTCAAACTACAGAATGAAGCAGTAGAAGAACGAAGCTTTAGTTGGAGAAAGCTTAGAAAATAAAATGTAGGTTTTTTTCTGTGACCCCCTCTATTACATTTACTGCTGTGAGGAGGAGAACATCAGTTTTATTGTAGCACCAGTGGAATATCTACTCTCTTCTCATGCTTCAACAAAAAGGAAAAACACTTAAAGTAATTATTGTCTGGATATCTATCACATCACCTGAAGTTTTTATAAGAAAACCAAGCTTGACCTAATACATTTAAGCTAACAGGTCTTAACATTTAATTCTAATTCAACAAACTTTTGTTGCCCACCCCTGGTAATGCAGACGACTTTTACAAACAAGTACCTCTATTACGGTAGGTTCATTTTTGTACCAGCTTCTCCCCTCAGCCATGAGGAAGACTTGAAAAGTTTACTGAAATTGTATAATTATGTTATATGGCTTCTTCTTAGATAAAACACAATCATGCCTTAGATTTGTTCACATGAAAGAAAATTGACCTAATTCAATTCATTTTAGAAAACACAGTGCTGCCAATTTATTTCTTAATCATCTTAGGCCAGTGATACATGTCTCGATGTGATCGGTGGCCGGGACACCCCTGGAGCAAAGGTAGCCCTGTGGGCCGAACACGGGCAGGTCCGACAGAAGTGGCGGCTGAACAGGAACGGGACCATCAGCTCCTATCTCAGTGATCGGCTGGTCCTTGATGTTAAAGGTGGGCCTCTGGTGAAACCCAGGATTTTGTGTTTTTGGAAAAAATTTTAAAATTCAAATCTCCTCAGTAAAAGAAACCTTTATAAATAAGAGAAATATTGAGTCATTTTTAATTATGCTTAAAAAAATCTTTAAGATATGCCATTTAACAATTGGCTATATGGATCAAGAAGAAAAAGCCTAAGGACAAAGTCTAAGAAGGTTTTTGTTCATTTGCTACATGATCTTTGAGAACAATCCTAAGTTTGACGCAACATCAGCCATAAAATGCCATCTGTTTCTTAGAAGGAAACATCTCTAACTTTTTGCTGTTCACTGGTTGTAGTCCTTAAAAGCCCTGAGTTAAAACTTAGGTATCATTTAAACTTGTTTTTGAATTCAGCAAGATAAGGGCCAACATTATTGAGGGCTTTGGATCTAATTGGGTTAGACACAGCCACTGTCAGCGTCAGAAACACACACACGTGGTACCTGACTGAGCCAGGGCGCTGTGTTCTGAGACTCACATCGTTGCGGCACACTTACGTAATCATCTGTTATACCTCTTAGTATTTGAGTCATAATATCCAATTTGAGATGAATAATAGCCAGGCCTTACTTAAACTCAGTTTCCCATTCCAGGCTGCTTTGTACATGACGTATCTACCCTACAGTGGGCCGAACAAAAGCTTGTGACTGTGTTACACACCTGTGTGAACAATAATCTTTTCTTGGAAATTTCTATTTTAGGAGGAAATTATTATGACAAGACACATGTAATTGTAAATCAGCCCCTGGAGGAAGAAGAAACACAGAAATGGGATATTGAAATCTTGTGAGAGACTCTGTACCATCTCTAACAAGAGCAAAGGAAGAAGGAGCCTCATGTCCTGAGCAAAGGAAGCTGCTTGTGCTCATGCTCCTCGATCACTGAGCAGAATGACCTTCTTTCCCTTCACCACAGAAAAGCTCAAAATAGTCTTCCCAGTGATTCATTGTTCTATGAAGAATATGTTTTGGTTTCTGGGAAAGGTTCTATTCTTGCATGATCTCCAGCTCCGGTGAACAAGTTTCTTGAAGTCTGTTTTCCTCTCTCTCCCAAGCACGTGTCCTGTTGCTGATAGTCATCCTAGGGCACTAGTGGACACAGTCGGCCCATGAGAGGCAAGGCCAGGGAAACAAATTCCTTTGGGTTAAGCCATACTTCTGCAAAAAGAGGAATTTTTTTAGCACTATCTGAAAACATACTGAATAAACCTCCCTGCTAAGCTGCTGTATTAGCTAAACCTTAAAGGTTCTCTCTCTCGAGACTTCTGCAACTGAAGCACCATAGGTATTCATACTTATAACTGACCCCAGGGAGGGACCCCTGCTTTGTTAGAAAAAAGGCTCAAATACTGGAGTATTTCCTATGGGGCAGTCTTTGCTCAGGCCTTCAAACTAAAACAACCTGTGGCTAGCCTTGCACTTTATAAACAATGAGTCTCTGACCAGCAGTTGCCTGACCTGCCCTCAAGACATGTTTATGAGATTATGTTACCTATGTATAAGAATAGTCCATTTTTCTTTGCCTGAAGTAAAAGAAAATTTCAAATGTTCAAATAAAAACCAAATAGTATTTACAAAATGACAAAATTCAAGTTTTTCACACCCATTTTAAGTAGCTTTCATTTAAGCAAAATCGGGTAGGATGTCATCTTTGACTTAGCTTCAGGTGTAAACAGCCACCACCTTCAACTGTACAATTCACAAGCATTGTTCCCAAACTTTTGCCAGAAAGTGGCGGCACATTTGCTCTATTTTTATATAGAAAAGTCAGATTCTCCAGTGATATTTTTAAAATACCAACCTCTGTGCACTTTAGAATGTAAAATGATAGTGAATTGTTTAAACTCAAAAAGACCCACTGTATTATTTTTTAGAGAGACTTGATCTTTCCATGTATATATTATTAGATGTTTTTTCCTTCAATCTCAGGCTTTTTTGTCATCTTTTAAGCAGCATCTGTAAAGCTCCCTTTTGTCCCCAGATGTGAGTGCCTCTCATGTTGCAATATTATTTAATGAAACTTATGTTATAGGGGTAACTTTAACAGGGGGTGGGAAGGGGTGTATATGCAAAGGTATGTATATTTTTATTGTAAAAAAACAGTTAATTTTTGTTTTAATTGCTTAAAATTTTCCTAGAGCCAGTAAGGCTCTTTAAAGAAGCTGTTTCTTCCAAAGAGAACAAAGCCAGGTAATGATATTTAAATGACACATTTATTGGAATTGTGCCTTTTCTACCACACTGGATTAAATAAATTTCTCAAAAGTATCATTCTGTCACTTTCTGGGACACCTAATTCACTGTTCTTTTTCCATGTGCCACTGTTGGGTTATTAGATACACAGGTAAGGAAAACTGGTTATGACCATTCTTCTCCCCAGTCTGGTGGCTGAAAGCAATAGGGACTCCCTAGCACACAAATCTTTGTTTTCCATACGTATGTGGAATAACAGACATTGGATCTCTGTAAAAGCACTAGACTACCTGGATTAAACATTCTGTCCAGAGGGATAACACCCAGCTTTCCTTTTCTTTGTCTGTAGTAAGTCTCAGGTCCTTGACAGAAACAACTGAACTGTTCCAAATTTGCTTCGGTGAATCCATAGGTGATAAAGGAAAGCAAAGTCCATGAGCCTGAAAAAGGAGAAACTAGTCATGAAAATGCCACTTGAGTGTTTTCTCCAAAAACTTCCATGATTGTCAATACAGCATATCTAATTATAGTTTATGTAAATTGCAACTCCCATATGAAAACTTAGATACAATGAATGCATTCTAATTTAGTAAGAAATAGTAATCATCCCCATGCAAGAACTCTGTCAATTGTGTGAAATGTTAAATCCACACTGCAGTCCTAAAAAACCACATTACCCATAATTCCGATATAATGCTTCCCAGCTATCACCAAACCACAGGAAAGACGTATTTTCGGTTGGGACAAACCTGTTTCCTCATTCCCCATCATGTGTGTCTCTCTTGTTCTTTAAGGAATGATAAAGGTAAACCATTTGGAATTTCATCCTTTTAAAAAAGCAGGGGTTAAGAATTCATAAAAAAATCTTTGAGGACTTCTAGCTAGGAGGGTTTTTCTAGAATACAGGTTAATTCCAAGAAAAATCATAAAGCCTTGATGCTTAAGTGAAATTTATTGAGCATTATAAAGAATTCTTTTGGTAAAATGTTATGGTGTTTATGAACACACACACATTGTATATATCATTATAGTCCTCACAGATTACTATTTATATGTAGCAAATAGTCAAGTCAAATATAAAACTGCACCTGGTGGAGCAGAAACTTGGTTGATATATCAACTTATCATTGAAACATTCAAGTTTCATTTAACTTCACCCATACTTTTTTTTTGGCAACAAAATTTGATACTCATATAAATCAGCAATTTGTGAACATCATGCAGCAAAATATTACCAGCTATGTGATCTATAAAAACTTTCATTCCAGTGCAGTAACCTTCCAACTAATCTCTACTTCCCTTTCCAACCACCCTGCACAGTGCAGTTAATCATCTCTTCCAGAAGCTTCAAAAATTCCTCATCACCTCTCACATTGGTTGGTTATCAGAGTAACCATGGTTTTTAAAAATAGGGGCATGTGGGAGTATGTACTTTTGAGGTTATATATAATAGTAATCTAATCCTCTCCAGGTCTGGCCCTGATGGCTGAACAATCTAGCTATGGAGACGTCTAGGGGTCCCCAACTCTCACTCTCTCTGATCATTCATGGAGTAAATCCTCAGCTGATTAGGAGGAACAGGGTGAAGCCACAGGACATAGGATAGGTCCTAAGGGTTGTACAGGGAGCTTTAATCATAAATGCAGAGGCTCAAACCCAGACCAGATGAAGCCTGGGGATTTATAATTTCTTAAGGTTGATTCTTGTATCAGCCAGTTTGGGGAGCTGCTGGGCCAGGTGGCAAGGTTATGCAATGCAGATATTTTTCTCCATGATCTATAGGATAAGAGATTTTTTAAGAACATTAACAAAACCACATGTAAAGACGGATCTGCAGTGTACAGGATGGGAGAGGGCCTAAGACAGGGAGGCATGACCAGACTGTGCAGCTGTCCAAGTATAGGCACCATGGCCTGAATTAGGGGGATGTGGGCAAGCCCCCAAAGGCCCAACAGGCAGGAAACGAACCCAAACAGTAAGATCTGGGCATTATCTGAACAAAAGCATGGCACTGAGCTGTGAGAATACATAGATTTCCAAGGAGAAGGGTGGTGACCACCTGTTAGCCTGGTGACCTGACGCCAGTGATGGAAATGCCCTGAGAGGAAGCCTTTCCCCCAGCATACTCACAGACTAATCCTGATCTGACCCTACTGTGAGCACAATATGATCTTTAAATTGCAGTCTCACTATGCTGTCCAGCCATGGCATCTGTCTACCTAGAAGACCCTTTTTCCAAAGAGAGAGAAAGCCAGCCTTCAAAAGAGGAAACCAGCAGGTTCCAACTTTTTTTGCAGGAGCAACTATTTAAGAGACACATTTACTAACAATTTTCAGGCAATTCTAAACACAGGGTGCCCTCTCCAACCCAAGTATTGGCTCACCCTGACATTCACAGTAATAGTGTAGTTTATGTCCTCATAGTGAAGACAGACACATCACAGATAAAGGACGGGAGAAGTTAGCAAGTACATGAAACATATATAAATGATACCATGGAAACCCAGTAGCTGCCCCAACAGAGGCAGGCACAGAACACTCCCCTCTCTGGTTCCTATCCTCTAGCTACGTGCTCTGTGTGTGGATTCCAGAAGGACCACCTGGGTTCAAAATGCACCTCCCCATGACTTACTGGGTGCGTGATCATGGCAAAATCCCATCTCTGTAGGCTAAGTGCAGTGTCAGGTAAAAGCCACGTAATTCACAGAAGTTTTCTTTTCCAGACTGGATTTAGCTTCATAAGAAAGGAGCCACTACAGACGAGCCTAACTGGCTCATCTGGTTAGGGAAAGAATCTGGAGGATCACAGCTTATTAAATATAACAGCTAAGACAAGGAAAGCTTTAGATATTGGGGGCCATAAGCTGATACTCAGAAAACTGTTCTCCTAAAGATTAAAATGTGTGCTAATAAAAATTTGCTACTTTGAATAGGTGCAAATTCCCTCAAAGATGAGAATAAAGATGTACATAGAATCAATGTTAGAAGGGACCTTGTAGGTTGACTATTTCATTGGCTCTCACCTGGTGACTAAAGGTTTTTTAGAAGTTAGTAAAAAGAATATTCTCAACCCTACTCAGAAAGAAAATCAGCCCAAGAGCTGGCCTGGTACTCGCATCTGTGTCCCGGTGTGCTGTTGAACAAAGGCAGTGTCACAGAACACCAAAGTCAACAGGGCTGTGACTAGGAGAGCAAGACAGAAACAAGCTCACTGCATAATCACGTCAGACTCAGGCAAAAGCGAGACCACTGTCCAAACCACAAAAACAGCCAAATGTCCATGTGATGCTGGCTAATCTAAGAGACTGCAGTGCTTTACTAATTACAACTGTAGTCTCATTTCATTCCTCCTGTTAAGATTTACAAGAGTCCCAGTCACAAAATTCCTACTTCCTGACAGCATCCAATCCACAGCAAAGCCCAGCTCCCTTAATCCTGAAAAGCACCCAACTCAATTCCAAATCCTGTGAATCCTTTCCAATGTCCTTTTACTGAAATGCCCCCCAGTTCCCAAGGGTGTGGTCTTCCCGTTGCAACACAATCAATAAACGCAGCTTTGTCTAACTACAGGAGTGCTCTCAGCTACAGGACATGGATATCACCATCCTTCCAGAAGTGTTATGTCATTTGCAGTCTTCATCTGTGATGTGCGGAAGGTCAGTGACAACCTTGAGCATTGTTGTATATCACTTGCTAACGGCAACATTTTACCCATCTCCAAGTTAATTCTAACAAGATTATTTCAATGTTCCTAAAAATTCTGGAGAAGTTTAAGATGATGAATACCAGTGCCCATAATGCACTTACTTATCACGCAGAATCACAGGGCTCTCATTCCCCATCATGCCAGGATGCAAGTTCTTTGCAAATGACCTTTGATATGCAGGATGCTAAAGGTAGCAGCGTGTCTTGTCCAGTCATCGCACACAATAGAGATCTAAGTCCACGTTAATTTTAAAATACTTCTACTTTCCATCTGCTCAAAATGGAGCCCACCCAGAAGAGTCCCCAAATGTTCCACGTCATCCCATAGCTGCCTAGAAGAAGGGAACAGACTCTGCCTGGCATTGAAAGCTCTGCTCTGACCCCATGAAGTTGGGTGGGAGCCTCTTCATAACAAAGTCCTTCTTCATGTCAAAGAAAGCAGCTCTTTGGTGCTCTCCAGCCAGTCTGCAAGGGTTCTCAGAAAGCTGCCTGATCTTGTTGCAGCAGCTGCGGTTTCCACCTACTAGAAACACAGAAGTGAGCCCTGGCCCGGGCGCCAGCAGAGCTAATGGCCCAGGTCCCAGTCTCCATGGGAATATGCCGAGTACCGCCACCCGGCTCACTCACAGGCCCGTGTCCCTCCCAGTGGGCAGAGGAGTTGGGGCTGATCAGGGCCTCAGAATATCCTCCTATTGCCTTATAACCACTGTTCATTTTTAACTGCCCTTTGTTTGCAAAAAGAAGGTCAATTTTCAGGGTTTTGCCTGGAAAAAGGGGCCCCTGGAAATACGGTGCAGTCTCAGATCCACCTTTTGGAAAGCAAGGCACTGTCCTAAGGTAACTGCTTCAGACAGAGCCAGAGACCTTTGCTCAACTCAGCCCAAATTCCGTCTTCTCAAAACCAGCTCTACCGTGCTACTGCTTCAAACATCAGACATGCACAGACAGGAGAGCCAGGAGTATGCCAAGGCCAGGCTCCCATAGGCCGCTCCTAACTAACGTGTGTGAATCCACCCTTCCAGCCACCTTACTTATTCAACCATTTATTCATAACCAATATGCCCACAGCACCCACTCCTGCCACCACAAAGTGTACAAAGGGCCATTTGCACACCTTTGGCTCTTTGGGTCACACATGCACAGCACTCTGTTCACTCTGCAAACACCCAGCTCAGCCACTCAGCACAGGAAGAGACAAGGCTGGCTCGTGGGGGAAGGAGGCTCTGGTGTCCACGGGAGGGAGGTCATAGCCCGCTGCCCAGGCTGCACTGGCCCCCCTCCCACCTGCCCCGTGCTCCTCAGCACCAGCAGCCGCCACCGTGCGCCGACCCGGAGCGCCACGTCCTCCTTGGCAGTGTCAAACACAAGCCCTGAGATGGTGCCCAACAGGAAGTTTCCCCATGAATTGGACTGTGTGCCAAGAACACAGTGAAGGAACATGGAATATAATAAAACACCGATTACTAGTAAAGCCCAAAGCTACGACCCCAGCCGGGCATTCTGAATTCAGTTAATGACATCACTCAGCATAAAAACTTGAGCCCTTCGGCAGTCACACTGCTTTTCTCCCTCCCCATTCCCTTTCCTGGAAAGCTAAGGGTGGAAAATAGGCTTTATTTATGATTTCTCTCAAAAGATACCAGAGAATAGATCATATACTGTCAGAAAGTAGGAAGTTTAAGGGACCATTTTTTGAAATGTTTTCAACTATAACACAAGTGTCTATGAGGAGAGCTTTGTAGGAAATTTTAACACTCAATCTTATAGGACCTGAAAAAACTTTTATGTGCAAAAAGCTTCCAAAAGAAATACATTTAGTGATATTTAAATGACACATTTATTGGAATTGTGCCTTTTCTACCACACTGGATTAAATAAATTTCTCAAAAGTATCATTCTGTCACTTTCTGGGACACCTAATTCACTGTTCTTTTTCCATGTGCCACTGTTGGGTTATTAGATACACAGGTAAGGAAAACTGGTTATGACCATTCTTCTCCCCAGTCTGGTGGCTGAAAGCAATAGGGACTCCCTAGCACACAAATCTTTGTTTTCCATACGTATGTGGAATAACAACATTGGATCTCTGTAAAAGCACTAGACTACCTGGATTAAACATTCTGTCCAGAGGGATAACACCCAGCTTTCCTTTTCTTTGTCTGTAGTAAGTCTCAGGTCCTTGACAGAAACAACTGAACTGTTCCAAATTTGCTTCGGTGAATCCATAGGTGATAAAGGAAAGCAAAGTCCATGAGCCTGAAAAAGGAGAAACTAGTCATGAAAATGCCACTTGAGTGTTTTCTCCAAAAACTTCCATGATTGTCAATACAGCATATCTAATTATAGTTTATGTAAATTGCAACTCCCATATGAAAACTTAGATACAATGAATGCATTCTAATTTAGTAAGAAATAGTAATCATCCCCATGCAAGAACTCTGTCAATTGTGTGAAATGTTAAATCCACACTGCAGTCCTAAAAAACCACATTACCCATAATTCCGATATAACGCTTCCCAGCTACCACCAAACCACAGGAAAGACGTATTTTCGGTTGGGACAAACCTGTTTCCTCATTCCCCATCATGTGTGTCTCTCTTGTTCTTTAAGGAATGATAAAGGTAAACCATTTGGAATTTCATCCTTTTAAAAAAGCAGGGGTTAAGAATTCATAAAAAAATCTTTGAGGACTTCTAGCTAGGAGGGTTTTTCTAGAATACAGGTTAATTCCAAGAAAAATCATAAAGCCTTGATGCTTAAGTGAAATTTATTGAGCATTATAAAGAATTCTTTTGGTAAAATGTTATGGTGTTTATGAACACACACACATTGTATATATCATTATAGTCCTCACAGATTACTATTTATATGTAGCAAATAGTCAAGTCAAATATAAAACTGCACCTGGTGGAGCAGAAACTTGGTTGATATATCAACTTATCATTGAAACATTCAAGTTTCATTTAACTTCACCCATACTTTTTTTTTGGCAACAAAATTTGATACTCATATAAATCAGCAATTTGTGAACATCATGCAGCAAAATATTACCAGCTATGTGATCTATAAAAACTTTCATTCCAGTGCAGTAACCTTCCAACTAATCTCTACTTCCCTTTCCAACCACCCTGCACAGTGCAGTTAATCATCTCTTCCAGAAGCTTCAAAAATTCCTCATCACCTCTCACATTGGTTGGTTATCAGAGTAACCATGGTTTTTAAAAATAGGGGCATGTGGGAGTATGTACTTTTGAGGTTATATATAATAGTAATCTAATCCTCTCCAGGTCTGGCCCTGATGGCTGAACAATCTAGCTATGGAGACGTCTAGGGGTCCCCAACTCTCTCTCTGATCATTCATGGAGTAAATCCTCAGCTGATTAGGAGGAACAGGGTGAAGCCACAGGACATAGGATAGGTCCTAAGGGTTGTACAGGGAGCTTTAATCATAAATGCAGAGGCTCAAACCCAGACCAGATGAAGCCTGGGGATTTATAATTTCTTAAGGTTGATTCTTGTATCAGCCAGTTTGGGGAGCTGCTGGGCCAGGTGGCAAGGTTATGCAATGCAGATATTTTTCTCCATGATCTATAGGATAAGAGATTTTTTAAGAACATTAACAAAACCACATGTAAAGACGGATCTGCAGTGTACAGGATGGGAGAGGGCCTAAGACAGGGAGGCATGACCAGACTGTGCAGCTGTCCAAGTATAGGCACCATGGCCTGAATTAGGGGGATGTGGGCAAGCCCCCAAAGGCCCAACAGGCAGGAAACGAACCCAAACAGTAAGATCTGGGCATTATCTGAACAAAAGCATGGCACTGAGCTGTGAGAATACATAGATTTCCAAGGAGAAGGGTGGTGACCACCTGTTAGCCTGGTGACCTGACGCCAGTGATGGAAATGCCCTGAGAGGAAGCCTTTCCCCCAGCATACTCACAGACTAATCCTGATCTGACCCTACTGTGAGCACAATATGATCTTTAAATTGCAGTCTCACTATGCTGTCCAGCCATGGCATCTGTCTACCTAGAAGACCCTTTTTCCAAAGAGAGAGAAAGCCAGCCTTCAAAAGAGGAAACCAGCAGGTTCCAACTTTTTTTGCAGGAGCAACTATTTAAGAGACACATTTACTAACAATTTTCAGGCAATTCTAAACACAGGGTGCCCTCTCCAACCCAAGTATTGGCTCACCCTGACATTCACAGTAATAGTGTAGTTTATGTCCTCATAGTGAAGACAGACACATCACAGATAAAGGACGGGAGAAGTTAGCAAGTACATGAAACATATATAAATGATACCATGGAAACCCAGTAGCTGCCCCAACAGAGGCAGGCACAGAACACTCCCCTCTCTGGTTCCTATCCTCTAGCTACGTGCTCTGTGTGTGGATTCCAGAAGGACCACCTGGGTTCAAAATGCACCTCCCCATGACTTACTGGGTGCGTGATCATGGCAAAATCCCATCTCTGTAGGCTAAGTGCAGTGTCAGGTAAAAGCCACGTAATTCACAGAAGTTTTCTTTTCCAGACTGGATTTAGCTTCATAAGAAAGGAGCCACTACAGACGAGCCTAACTGGCTCATCTGGTTAGGGAAAGAATCTGGAGGATCACAGCTTATTAAATATAACAGCTAAGACAAGGAAAGCTTTAGATATTGGGGGCCATAAGCTGATACTCAGAAAACTGTTCTCCTAAAGATTAAAATGTGTGCTAATAAAAATTTGCTTCTTTGAATAGGTGCAAATTCCCTCAAAGATGATAATAAAGATGTACATAGAATCAATGTTAGAAGGGACCTTGTAGGTTGACTATTTCATTGGCTCTCACCTGGTGACTAAAGGTTTTTTAGAAGTTAGTAAAAAGAATATTCTCAACCCTACTCAGAAAGAAAATCAGCCCAAGAGCTGGCCTGGTACTCGCATCTGTGTCCCGGTGTGCTGTTGAACAAAGGCAGTGTCACAGAACACCAAAGTCAACAGGGCTGTGACTAGGAGAGCAAGACAGAAACAAGCTCACTGCATAATCACGTCAGACTCAGGCAAAAGCGAGACCACTGTCCAAACCACAAAAACAGCCAAATGTCCATGTGATGCTGGCTAATCTAAGAGACTGCAGTGCTTTACTAATTACAACTGTAGTCTCATTTCATTCCTCCTGTTAAGATTTACAAGAGTCCCAGTCACAAAATTCCTACTTCCTGACAGCATCCAATCCACAGCAAAGCCCAGCTCCCTTAATCCTGAAAAGCACCCAACTCAATTCCAAATCCTGTGAATCCTTTCCAATGTCCTTTTACTGAAATGCCCCCCAGTTCCCAAGGGTGTGGTCTTCCCGTTGCAACACAATCAATAAACGCAGCTTTGTCTAACTACAGGAGTGCTCTCAGCTACAGGACATGGATATCACCATCCTTCCAGAAGTGTTATGTCATTTGCAGTCTTCATCTGTGATGTGCGGAAGGTCAGTGACAACCTTGAGCATTGTTGTATATCACTTGCTAACGGCAACATTTTACCCATCTCCAAGTTAATTCTAACAAGATTATTTCAATGTTCCTAAAAATTCTGGAGAAGTTTAAGATGATGAATACCAGTGCCCATAATGCACTTATTTATCACGCAGAATCACAGGGCTCTCATTCCCCATCATGCCAGGATGCAAGTTCTTTGCAAATGACCTTTGATATGCAGGATGCTAAAGGTAGCAGCGTGTCTTGTCCAGTCATCGCACACAATAGAGATCTAAGTCCACGTTAATTTTAAAATACTTCTACTTTCCATCTGCTCAAAATGGAGCCCACCCAGAAGAGTCCCCAAATGTTCCACGTCATCCCATAGCTGCCTAGAAGAAGGGAACAGACTCTGCCTGGCATTGAAAGCTCTGCTCTGACCCCATGAAGTTGGGTGGGAGCCTCTTCATAACAAAGTCCTTCTTCATGTCAAAGAAAGCAGCTCTTTGGTGCTCTCCAGCCAGTCTGCAAGGGTTCTCAGAAAGCTGCCTGATCTTGTTGCAGCAGCTGCGGTTTCCACCTACTAGAAACACAGAAGTGAGCCCTGGCCCGGGCGCCAGCAGAGCTAATGGCCCAGGTCCCAGTCTCCATGGGAATATGCCGAGCACCGCCACCCGGCTCACTCACAGGCCCGTGTCCCTCCCAGTGGGCAGAGGAGTTGGGGCTGATCAGGGCCTCAGAATATCCTCCTATTGCCTTATAACCACTGTTCATTTTAAACTGCCCTTTGTTTGCAAAAAGAAGGTCAATTTTCAGGGTTTTGCCTGGAAAAAGGGGCCCCTGGAAATACGGTGCAGTCTCAGATCCACCTTTTGGAAAGCAAGGCACTGTCCTAAGGTAACTGCTTCAGACAGAGCCAGAGACCTTTGCTCAACTCAGCCCAAATTCCGTCTTCTCAAAACCAGCTCTACCGTGCTACTGCTTCAAACATCAGACATGCACAGACAGGAGAGCCAGGAGTATGCCAAGGCCAGGCTCCCATAGGCCGCTCCTAACTAACGTGTGTGAATCCACCCTTCCAGCCACCTTACTTATTCAACCATTTATTCATAACCAATATGCCCACAGCACCCACTCCTGCCACCACAAAGTGTACAAAGGGCCATTTGCACACCTTTGGCTCTTTGGGTCACACATGCACAGCACTCTGTTCACTCTGCAAACACCCAGCTCAGCCACTCAGCACAGGAAGAGACAAGGCTGGCTCGTGGGGGAAGGAGGCTCTGGTGTCCACGGGAGGGAGGTCATAGCCCGCTGCCCAGGCTGCACTGGCCCCCCTCCCACCTGCCCCGTGCTCCTCAGCACCAGCAGCCGCCACCGTGCGCCGACCCGGAGCGCCACGTCCTCCTTGGCAGTGTCAAACACAAGCCCTGAGATGGTGCCCAACAGGAAGTTTCCCCATGAATTGGACTGTGTGCCAAGAACACAGTGAAGGAACATGGAATATAATAAAACACCGATTACTAGTAAAGCCCAAAGCTACGACCCCAGCCGGGCATTCTGAATTCAGTTAATGACATCACTCAGCATAAAAACTTGAGCCCTTCGGCAGTCACACTGCTTTTCTCCCTCCCCATTCCCTTTCCTGGAAAGCTAAGGGTGGAAAATAGGCTTTATTTATGATTTCTCTCAAAAGATACCAGAGAATAGATCATATACTGTCAGAAAGGAGGAAGTTTAAGGGACCATTTTTTGAAATGTTTTCAACTATAACACAAGTGTCTATGAGGAGAGCTTTGTAGGAAATTTTAACACTCAATCTTATAGGACCTGAAAAAACTTTTATGTGCAAAAAGCTTCCAAAAGAAATACATTTAGGGTAACATAACAGCAAGATCCCTGGATTATGTAGTTATCTGAACAGTTAGTTACACTTGCATTTTCCTTTGTCCCCTTTAAAAGAGGGGCACTGTTTCTCAGTAAAATATCTAACATCAGCAATTTCAAAGCAATTGATTTTGCAACTTGGTAAACTCTCGCAATGGTTTTAGGAAAGTAGAAGGTAAAAGCCAGTGTCTTGAAAATAACATCTAGGGATGAATGTCAGTATCCAGTTACCTTTGCTTTCCTCTGGGGCATTCAGAATTGGCTTGCTCCTAAATGTGTGCCACTGGGAGCAACACACTCTGTGGGGCTGCTCTCTTTAAACATTTCTGAGCTGTTCAAAGATTTTCTCTATGTCGCCAGTGGAGTTCAAACAGCTGGCTATGTGCAAAATGGAAATTCACAGTATGGCTTTTGCTTCTCACTCAGTAAGCAAAATTAACACTTTTATGCTTCCCTTCCAGAAAAGTGGCAGAGGAGGGCAAGAGACACATAAGCAGCACCTTCCCAAGACACCCACCACGGGGAGGCCTCACCGCTCTGCAGCTCAGTGTTACAGCCAACCTCACATCTCTGGCTGCATGTCTTCATCTCACTAAGCCCCTCAGCAGGATCAGATTGCAAGTCACGCAGCAAGGGGCCACGGAGGAATCCGCAGTTATGCAGTGCTCCGTGCTCCTCTAAGAGTCAGAGTCGACCTGGGACCTTTCCAAAATTTGGGAGTCATACATGTTGACAGGTTCACTTTCGTAAAATAGACAAATCAGCCTGCTGCTGCCCCCCATGGCAGGCCCCAAATTTCCCCAGCAATGTCACCCCTGAGGGGTACTGGGAAAGGCCCCCAAATCCTCACCCTGCCACAGTGCCTTAAGGATCACCAGGACCAACACAGGGATGTCTCTGGGGTCCTGTCCTACCTCCAGCACCACCGGTAAGACGCAGGCAGAATCTGGCCTGGGCACATCAGGCAGGGCAGCATCCCCTGCCTAGGCAGGCAATGTCAGTGACAGCCTGCTCTCCAGGCCCAGCTGAGGGAGAAGGCGTGGGTGGGATGGGGGGTGGCCTACCAGCCCTCCACTCTCGGGACTGGGAAAGAGCTTAGCAGAAATAAAAGCAAATAGGTTAGTGACACACAGGAAGTCAGGAATAACTGGTGATGGCTTATGATGAGCCAATGTTATGAGTAAAGAAGATGACGAAGGAAAACAAGGGTGCAAAACCCAGTTGTTAGAAAACCAGTTGGTGGCAATAGTGAAATGCAAAAGGGAATTAGAAGAGGAGACAGGAGCTGAGTATGTTAGTGACGGGCACTGGAAGACACATATCTGTTCACAGGGCCACACCATGTGCCTGCCAAGGGCCAGGGCCGCCTGGATCCAGAAGGAACTGGTTCCAGCCTCCCCAAGGCCTGACCCTCCTCCAGTTCCCACGACCCACTCCCTCAACTGCCCCTGCCCTTCTTGCGCTGGCCTCAGGGACTCGCCGTCCCTCGCTGTGCAAGGAGCCTGCCTAGCCATGGTGACAGGGCATTCTTTACAACGGAAGCAAAAAACAGGCTTTGGCCTTCAACTCACGGGCAAGGACAGCACTAACTGTGGGCCAGGCTCCAGCCAGTTCCTCCAGGAAGCCTCGTAAACACAGGGCTTCACTTCACACAGAAAAGCCAGATGAGGAAACAGAGGTATGCTTACTAACTTGTTTTGCAAGTTCTGGCTTTGAAGGTAGGAGGGGACTTGCTGCCCCTTGGGACTGGAATGTCTTCTTCTTCTCTGACCTACTGACCCACCTCTACTCACTAATCCTCGCAGTCTCACTCTGCTTGGGTGCCATGCCTCTGGCACCCCAGCTTCACTAAGTGTGCCCCTCCAAGCTCCAAGGGTCTGCCCTGCAGACCCAGGATGGGATGCTTCACAGTTTGGAAACTGTCTTCACACCTGTCTCCCCTCCTACGACCACTTCTGAGCCCCAAAGCCCCTTTAGGACAATGCCTGCAGCCCAGGGTCCAGCATCGTGTGCTGAGGGACCCAGTGATGGCGTCTTTGGGACCTGGACCAGCAAGGTCGTGGCAACTGGGAAATCACGGGCACCGCCGCCCAGCCCTGCCTGCGCCGGGCACTCCCAGACAGAATGTGGTTTCACCGCAATGGTGTGTGGCACATGCACTTTTAGGCCGCCCATTCCAGATGCCCTTCCTACTGTAACTCATCTACTGGGCAAAGTGGGAACCTTGATGACCCAAGGCTTTGGTGGATACGGAGTTTCTGTTTGGGGTGATGAAAATATTTTGGAAATAGTAATGATGGCTACACACCAGAGTGAATGAATGTATGTCACCAAATGGCACACTTAAAATGGCCAAATGGTGCATTTTGTGTTATAAATATCACCATAAAAATTTTTTTAGAGAGACAACAAGCCCAGCCTTGGGTCAGTAACACACCACCACTCCTGCAGCTATAGTGCTTTCTTCCCAAACCAAGGGGACCTTTACTTGGGCAACTCGCAGTGTTTACACAGACCCAGGTTCGTGATATTCCAGGAGGAAGGCCAGACGGGCCAGTGGCAATGACGGGAGGCCAAGGGAGTCTGTAGCCAGCCCCAGAGCAGGGTAAGCAGGTGAGGAGAGGCCAACATGCTCCAGCCCGCAGGGTGGGGTGGCCATGGCCATGACTGGCTGCTGGGCTGGGCGCAGCGCTTACTTGTTCTGGTCAGGCAAGCAGAGTGGGTCCCTGCGGGAGCGTCCACTCCATGAATGGTCCCTCTTGGAAAATATAGCAAATCCCTGGGCTAAAGGAAGAAAAATTGAAGATACCTGCTCAGGCCTCTCTGTTTTAAAGAGACAAACATAGGCTTTGAGTTTCAGGTCTCCATTCTAGAAACCTCTGCCTGGTGATTCAAGAGATGCTCCGTACACCGGGCTCCTGTGGCGTCCTGCCATCTGGCTTCACTGTGTCCGTGGGCCTGTCACTGTGAGCCCCAGTCCTGGGGAGGCTCGCGTGGCTGTAGGCACGTCCTCCATCACAAGCTGAGGCCAGTTACTCTCGTGTGTATTCCCCGGAGCCTGGACTATCAACGCACTTGATGTACGACAGAGGTTCCATCAATGTTTGGATGAATGACGACACTCCCCAAACCCTTCACTTGAACCTAAAAACCAGACATAAGTAAAGACCACTTTGTTGGGCAGGCGAACCTCCTCCACCTGGTCCTAGTTCTCTCCGAAGCCAGTGGGCAGAAATATTCTCCCCAAATCACTCCTGCCCTGACCTACCTCCTCCTAGTCCCACCCAGACAAAAACGCATCCCACACAGCAGTTGCCTAAGGAAAGGAGAGGGAACCTGAGGCCCGCTTATCCCCCCTTGGCGACCATGGCGGCGGCCTGGCTCCCTGGTGAACGAGCGAGGGCCTGGCTGGAGAGCTCAGGAAATATCAGACTAAAGCAGCTCTAAGTTCAGGCTTTCCTTAAGACCAGAAACAATATACAATTATATATGTTCACAAGGGCTATCTTGGGGGCTCACTCATTTGCCCAAATGATACCAAACAGGGAAACGAAGCACTTCAAGTAAATAATGCTTTACTTGTAACTACAGCTGCTATTTGCTAAGCGTCTCTGAGCCAGCCCTCAGAAGGAGGCCCCACATGTATGATTCATCCATTCATTCATTCTTTTATTCCACAAACATCCGGTTAGCCCTTCCTCACCCTCCCCATGCCAGGTACCGTGCACTGGGGTCAGGGCCCTAGACAAAGACCTGCCCTTTTGAAGTATATTCCAGAAAAGAAGACAAACATTTGAGAAGGGAGAAGAGACAACGGATACAATGAAGACATCCTCAGGGGCAACAGAGCAAAAATAACACAGTAAAATAACGGCAAGTGGTGGTGAATGCAGTGGAGACAAATCAGCAGAGGCAGGCGAGGGGATGCTGCTGACAGAGGTGGGTGCCTGCAGCACATCAGCAGAGAGTTCAGGAAAGGAGTGAGCCAGCCATGTGATGACTGGGGAGAAAGGATTCCTGGCAGAGGGAAGAGCAAGCGCAAAGGTACAGAGTCCAGAGTGTGCAGGGCACTTCTGAGGAGCACTGTGTTGGCCAATGCGGTAGGAGAGTCATGACTGAGGGTGGAAATGACGGGAGGGGAGGTGCAAGGCAGCAGAGGGGCCGGATTACAGGGCCTCTGGACTGTTTTAGGGACTTTGGCTTTCATTTCTGGGTTTAATAGAAAGTCACTGGGATCTGGGCAAAGGGCGCACAGGATCTCAAAAGGATTGTTATGGGTGATGTCAGAAAAGTCTGCAAAGGGGATACTAGAGAGGAGACTTTTGTATGAATCATGTCCAAGAGTTCAATGCAGACATTCAGTAGACAGCTAGATATGAATTGAGAGTTTAGAGATGTGGACCAGAGAGATAACACAGCATTTAAAATACATCAGTACAAAGAATATTTAAAACCTTGGGAGTGGGTGTGGACTGAGCAGAGAAGTCCAGGAAAGGAGCCTGGAGACCTAACTTTCAGAGGTGGGAAGACCGAGGACAAACAGCAAAGGAGGATGAATGGGACAGTCACCCAGCTGGCAAGAGAACGGGAGGGGGTTCCCCAGGAAGAAGCGGGAGCGGCCCGCTGTTCAACATTGCCAACAGGTGGACTATGGGAGTGCTCAGAGTTGACCACTGGACTTGACAGAGTGAAGGTCCCTGGGAACGTGGTTCTGGAAGAATAGTGGGGATGAAAGCCTGCTGGGAGGGGCTCCCGAGAGCAGAGGAGACGACATCTATGTCCTAGTCCCTGGCACCTGGGCATATCTAGGTTTCATGGACAAGGTGAATTAAGGTTGTTGATGGGGAGAGTATTCTGGATTATCCAGGTAGGACCAGTACGTAATCACAAGATCTGTGAAAGTGGAAGAGGGTATGGGAAGAGAGAACCAGGGATGGCAGCGTGAGGAAAATTAGGCTCCATGTTGTCTACTGTGAGATGGAGGAAGGGGTGGCCTCTGGAAGCTGGACAGGCAAGGACAGGGATTCCCCCCTAGAGAGATCAGAAGGGATGTAACACGCTGACACCTTGATTTCAGCCCAGTGAGATGCGTTGTGGGCTTCTGAACTGCAGATAATTAATACATTGGTGTTGTCTTAAGCCATGGATTTTGTGTTAATTTGTAATTTGATAAGCAGTGATACACTGCCATATGGCCATCTCACCCAAGGAATTTCACTGTAAAGAAGGCAAAGTATTATTTTCCAACCCTTACAACCTACAAGGTAAATACTGTGATCTCCATTTTAATAGAAAAGAAACTGAGACAAACTTGCCCAAGGATGTGTAGATCCTGAGTGGCTGCAGCTGGATTTAAACCCAGGTTGACAATACAGGGGTGGTCTTCACCCCAAGACCTCAGGCTTGGCAGCCACTGAAGTGAGCAGGAAGAGGGGTGAGAAGGGCCCCAGCCTCTCATCTACCCTCCATGCCCACCGCACTCAGAGTCCTTCAGCTTTCCTGTTTCATATATTGGGCGCTTATTCAAGACCTCATGAGAAGAGTTTCACTGACTGAAAAATGCATGTGTACACAGACATACAACTTGGAGAACCCTGTGATGGACACTGCTGCCTCTCTCTTTCAGGAGACTCACGGCTCCTCTTAATGAACTGCGACCGGGATGGGCTTTGCTCCACCTCCTCCAAGTCCTGCGGTGGGCCACAAAGTACCCACACTGCCTACACCTGAGGAGCACCATGAAGTCTGACCCTCCCAGGCTGGGCAAGGAGCCAGTTGCCTAGGTAACTCAGCCCCAGCACCAGAGACCATGGATGGCTTCAGCTTTGGCTGAAAAATAATCAACTAAGAGCCAAAATAACATGCTTTGCCAAGAGCAGAGTTTGGCAAACTCTTCCTGTGAAGGGTCAGCTAGTAACTGTTTGTGGTTTGTGGGCCACATGGTCTCTGTGGTGACTAGCTGATGGCCAGCACACCGTGAACATGGCCCTAGACGGTACACACAGGATGGATGTGGCTGTGTCCAGTGAACTTTATTAAACAGGCAGGAGGCCATATTTTTGGTCCATGGGCAGTTTATTGACCAAGAGCATAAAAAATGAAGGTACCATTATTGTTGTCTTTAAGTCTCCTGGAATGTAGGTTCACATCCTGAAAAGGGAGATTGTTTCCCTCAGTTACTGGCAGTCAGGCAAAGATTTTATAATCAAGAGGCCAACAAGACAATAAGAATTAGACTTTAATTATAACTTCAAGACACAAAAAATACAAAAACAAAAACTGTATGCAAGTACATCAGGTTGGCAGAATTTGTTGAATGGTTTGCACTGCTATATTCTTGCCACTGAAGGAAACTAAATTGTTTTGTAGGACAAGGTTTAAAGTTTAATTGTGGAGCTATCCCTCTGAGCTTGCTTTCTCAAGTACCCCACCTACTGGGGCCTGGCTATGACCCCATCTAGGCTAACTGCTCAGTGACAGACCTCCTCTGCCGCACAGCGCTAACCATCAAGCACACACAAGCCGCCTGGCGTCCCGGCAGAAGACGCCTCAAGACCTTTCACATTTCCTGTTCTTCTGTTGACTAAATGCAGGGGGGAAGGCTGGGAAATGCAGAGAGAATCTGCTACACAATCAGGGGGCAAAAGGACCAGACTGGAATTTTACCAACAAAACATCCAGAGAGGTCCCTGGCTATGCTCAGCCTTAAGCAGCCTATAGCCTAGGGCTGACACCGCCTCAGCTCTGATGAAGCTGCCCCGGGGCCAGACCTCCACTTTACTCCAGAGAAGTTGGGGAGTCCGTGACTCACTCCTGTTGCACTTGGATTGTACTTAGAGACAGATCACTAGAAGATGAACTTAGTGCTTCCTCAGGTCACTTTTACCTGTCCATCCTTGAGAAGCAGCTTGTGCTCACTGGAATGGGACACTCTGGGATGCACTCCTGCGAGAACGTTACATAAACACCAATCCTCAAGCGTGGACTTGCCTCGGGGCAGTGCCCAGGACAGAGCCCTGTCCCTTCACCATGAACTCGTGCGCCGGGCACCCGATCCTGCCCTCGGCCTCCATGCTGTACTCCTGCACCAAAGGCACAGAGGGCTGGCAGAGACACCAGTGTTCCTCCCCCTGCAACTGCAGGATGGGAACCTGCAGAGCCACAGGACCCAGGAATGTCAGAGAGCTTCCTGAAGACTCAGCAGGCAGAGTGCTTCTAGAATATCTCCCACCAAGGGCTGAGATGAATTGCAAGTTTCAGATAAAAAATAAAAATGTACGGTCAGAAATGTATTTCATGCCACACTTAAACCTGCCGGTACTGGTTCTCACTTTTAAAACAGGTGATCATGAACCCGATCCATCCCTTTCACTTTAATAAAGCCCTGCTGAGTCCTCTATATCCCACTATCTCATTCCTTGAAACCTTCTATCAGACAGCTGAATGCCCATAATCTCTGATGGGAAAGCCAAGTTCCAGATATTACAGAATGTCTAAAATCCTAAATATAATCCTTGGCAAATAGGAAAACTTTGAATTTTTTATTCTTCATTCAGCCACAGGTATTTTAATGCTCTGTAAAAACTACTAAAAAAAAAAAACTTTTGGAAAATGTATTGATATCAAATTGCTCTCAAAGGAGAAAAGAGGTCTTTTTAGTAATAACTATTTGTTCTCACCTTGTATTAGTACAAACATAAAACCATGAAATACCTAAGCCAAAGAGTTAACAATTTTTGGCAGCCACATGAGAGTGAAATCAACACTTGTCAAGGTGCCAGGGCTTAAGTGAAACCATGACCTTCATTCAAGCTGCCCCAGGATTTTCACAAACAGAAAAAATTATCTATTTTTGGCAGCTAGAGAAAAAGGATAAAATAATAGCAGATGCAAAGAGTACTTGTGCCCTCACTTTATTAAAGGCCATACATTGTGAAACTAAAGAAAAACTCATCACATTTTTCTGTAGATCAATTCCATAAATACCTGTTTTAGAGGAATGTGTGGCTCCACATAAGGCTGGAAACAGTCTCTCCCCTTTGAGGAGGAGAAGGAAGCCAGTTTGGGGGGGTTCACCTTGGCCCAACGTCTCTGTGAGGTCAAGGTCTCCGGAGATGGCGCAGCAAGAGTGGATGGACGTGGCCCGAGACCTGAACTGACCTGGATCCCTGGACCATTCTGGGCTCCCAGCAACTCCTGCTTCCCAGAGCTGAGCGGTTTTCTTCTCTTACCTCGACGTCATCATAAGGTGCAGCAGGCTCTGAGACCCTGCGGGGTCAGGTACACACTCGAGCCAGCCAAGGGGCCAAAGCAGTGCTCCAGCTTCTCCTGGGTCCTCCAAAGCTCATCCTTTAAGAAAGGAGAAAAAAGTGGAAAGGTGTAGAGAAGAAGTGAACAGTGTATTAGAAATAAGATGTGTACGTCCTTATGCCAGATTCAATGAAAGAGCCAATATTTCTGCCCTCAAGAATTTTCCAAACTAGTGCAGAGCCCCCAAGGCATGGGCAGCTACCCAGGAGATCTGGCCAGGCAGCCACAGGGAGCCACGATGGATTCTAGGCAGGACAAGGACATGGCCCAGCGGACACTTTAGAAAGCTCACGCTGGCTATTGTGGGTAGAATGAACTGTGTAAAGAGATCAGTGGGGAAGCTACTAAAGCAGCGGCCCAGGGAAGAAACGATCAGAGGGCAACAGAGAAAGCAGAAGAGTGGAGAGGTGCCACCCTAGAGGTGGCACCAGGAGGGCCTGCTGAGGAACTAGACACAAAGGGGCATGGGATGTGGGGGTCAGGAAACACTGGGGCGATGCATTAGCTGCCAGTTCCACAAACTGAAATAGGAAAAGCCTGCAAAAGACCAAGCTTTCAGGGGGAAAAAGAAGAGTTCCACACCAGAAATGTAAAGTTTGAGCTGCTAAGACCTCCACAGGGAAATGTTTTTAAGTCTGGCTAAGTCTGAAGTTCTGGCAAGACATAAGGGATAGAGATTTACATTTGGGAATTGCCTGCATGAAACTGATATTTAAAGCAACGGGAGCAGAAATGATAATTTGGGAAAAGCACGCAAAGCAGGAGGCCCAGGGCAGGGTCCGTTCCCTCTCCCCACTCACTCAGTAGCTCTCCAGGGTTTAAGTCAGACCGAGGGGCCTAAAGAAGAGCCACATATTCCTGCAAGAGACAAAGAAACCTCCCCCAAGGCAAGTGAGAGGCGGCGAGGCGGTAGTTAGGCCATGTGGACATCAGCCCTTCTATGCATTGGGCACGCGTCCTAAGTGTTTTACGTGCATGAGTTCCACAGCCCTCCCATGCCCTGCCTCCCAAGGTGGGTACTATCACCGTCTCCAGTTTACAGATGGGGAAACTGAGGCATGAGAGCACCCAGCTAACAAATGATGGAGCCAGGATTGAAATCCAGGCAACTGGCTCCAGGGTCCTGTCCCCACAACTCTGTGTTCACCTTAAAGAATTATCTTACAGAAAATACAAGTCACCTACAAAGGACACTAAAGAGTCCCAAGTTTCAAGCAGATTAATGTACAGTACCTGGCATGTAGATGACACTAAAACATATTAAAAATATTTGCTGAATAAACCAATGACCACAGCTTTGGAATCAATCCCACCAGTGGACAGAAAAGGATCCACAAGTGGGATGGAATTGGATCAGTATGAAAAAGTCTGGAGAGACATCTTCATAAAGACCAGTGGGCCACTCCAGTTACAGATCTCAGGGGTTCTGCTTAACACATGAAGAATAATTTAATGGTGTCTAGGCAGCTCCCAAGGAGCCTGATTCATACCAGGGAGTGGCCAGCAGGACCTGTGGAGTCAGATTCCTGTGGTAGCTGGAACCACTAGAGAATCAGGGCTTCTTGTTCTCTCCCTGATGGCCTGAAGAGCATCTGAGGACCACGGGGTGAGTTTATGCTTCCCAACTCCAGCACCTGGGTGTGCGACTGAGGACATGTCTCTTTTCTTGTTCAAGGTTATAGAAAATCCTATCAATTGTACATTTATTTTCATTTCTCCTGGACCTTCTGCCTCTGAGCCTGCCAAGCACAGCCTACTAGAAGGAGAACTGGAGTCAAACCACCTCAGTCCAGGTTTAGTTACAAGCTAGGTGACTTTAGTTCCTTACTTTGTAACATGAAGACTCCCACCCTAAGGCTGTCGAGGACAACAAACAACAACTTATCTTCAATCCTACTTAAATTGCAAAGCAGTGTACAAGTATAATTGCTTCACCGAAATGTTGAACTTAAGCACAAACAAAGCTCCTCAAGTCTGTCTTCTCCTTTAACTCATGACTCCCAACTGTCTGGAGAACTCATACATAACAGCAAAAAAAAAAAAAAAACCCAGGGGGCGGAGCCAAGATGGCAGCGTGAGTAGAGCAGCCGAAATCTCCTCCCAAAGCCACATAATCTATGAAAATATAACAAAGACAACTCTCCCTAAAATAGAGACCAGAGGACAGAGGAAAACATCCAGACCACATCCACACCTGTGAGAACCCAGCGCTTCGGGAAGGGGGTAAGATAAAAACCCCAGCCCGGTGGGTCCCGAGCGCCCCTCCCCCCAGCTCCCGGCGGTAGGAGACGAGTCAGCAGGGAGGGAGAGGGAGCCCAGGACTGCTGAACACCCAGCCCCAGCCATCCAGACCAGAGCGCAGACACAGTGCATATGCAGGGTCCTGCATACCAGGGAAACAGGGCGGCAGGACCGGTGAGCAGGTGCCTGAGGCCGACGCCAGAGAACAAAGAAATGGGAGCGGCCAATTTTTTTTTTCTTTTGGCGAGTGCTTTTTGGAATTCTTAAAGGGACAGGGACTCCAATACTAGGGAAACAGGGCAGCAAGACCCGGTGAGCGGGTGCCTGAGACCGGCGCCTGAGGACAAAGAAAATTGTGCGTTTTTCTTTTTTTTTTTATTAT